GAACACTACCGCGACACTGACGACTGTTGGCACGATCAGGTTGAAGCTTTGCGCGCAAAAACGATTAAGTTGAGAGTTTATGGGATGTTTATTTTTGGGCACGTGCATCAACCTGCAATGCGTTTCTTGCTGCAAGTGTGTGCTATTTTGTCTAGGTGCTTCATTGCTCACAAATAAAAACATTAATCGTGTGCATTGTGTTTTTGCTGTTTTTATTTGGTGCTCTGTTTTGGAAAGCGCTAGTAGTCGTACAAAACCTTTTTCGTAATGAGATTACGTGATGCTCTTTCCATTGGTGACAACATTGCATTAGGCGGAAAAAGGATATAAATAAAGGAGAAAGGAATTATGTGCCGGAAATACATAAGCTGACAATCTAACCTTACATACGTCGTGTGTGGAATTAACCACTAATAATAGCATACGTTTTATGCCCTACACTCATTCACAACACTCTTATATCTGAAGCTACTTAACCATATCGCATTCCAAGGAAACTAAGAGTTATGGAAATACGTGCGATGACTTCTGCATAGTTGTTTAGAAGTTCCAATTTTCTTTCTTTGATCGCCATGAAGTGGTAAGGGAGACGATAAAGTTATCAATGCGTTGCAACCACAAGCCACTCATTATCTCATCCTTTTTTATCTTTGAAGTTACCGTTCCGATCTTTTTAACTCGGCACACACTCCGCTTTGGCAGGAATTTGCACACGGCGTAAAGTTAAGGATGAATACGCCACGTGGGGACAGATAAGTGAACTTAAAGCGCCTGTCACAAATTTCTGGCCATGACTGATTTCACGGCTCTGAACGCCATATCTCCCAGCGGTACCAAAAGTGAAATCCGTATTCCTACATCATGATACTGCACCCATCGTCACCGACATCTTTCCTTTTTCATTTTTGTCATCTTTCGTCCACTTTTTTAAATCAGTGTACCCTTTTCCAAAGTACGGAGTAGCCTTCTAGGACAACTGGTTCAGGCAAACAGTTTCGTCCTTCTATCATTTCTAAAGCCCCCCCCCCCCCCCCCCCTCTTCCCCCCCTCGGGGTCCGATTAACTAACATTTGACGTAGTCTTACATCTTCAAATCAGGAGCTCGGAAGGAGCTAACTGTACTCGTTGTCACATCGAAAAAAACATTTCATACGCTGCGCCAAGTAGTCCTTACAAGATTTTGTTTGTCGAGGGAAGAAACTATGCTTTCGTCGTTTGAAACGTGTATGCCTTTATAAAATGATATACCCAATTTAAAATGTGCCTATATCTATCTTAATTCACCACATAAAATGGGAAATTAGCAATCCTAAGCGAGAAGCCGGACATCTTTTACTACTGTTCATGAGGTGAATACCATATAGATCTGTTCCATTGATAAGTGTTCCTGCAACATGGTTCTTCAGCAACATTGTCTCTAATTTGGTTGGTACCTTGTTTCCTAAACAGCCTGGATTCCGTACGCACCATTCCTGTGTTAGCGAACTATAAAACTAACGAACGATAATGTGAATTCTTTTAAAATAACGGATGTGATAATCGTAAACTTTTCAAAGGACCGGGTTCCCCTAACGGATTAATATGAATACTTCCCTATTTAAAGAGTATCGCATTTTCCGGACTATAGTTTGCAGGAGAAAATATCGTTTGAAAAATAAAAGTTGTTCCTTAGATAATACGCACCTGGTGCTATAGTTGACACGAAAATCTTCTCATGCGCAGCACACCTTGACAAACGTCTGCTTTCTTAGCTCACAAAGCTTGTATCATACATAAATCATCATTAACATACCTTTTTATTCACAAAGTTCGTCACGTCTTGTCATAGTGAATGGTCTTGAAAAACAAAATTCCTGTATAGCCCGCACCTGTAGAGGGTCTGCACAACTTTCAAACATAGATATATATATATATATATAGTCTGGAAAATACGATAGTCTTGTCTCCTGGTTTCACGCTTTCCTTTTAAACTCCGTCTATGACCAATTGGTAATACTATTTCCCCTCTCCTGGATGTCTTCTCAATGATCCCTCGGAGGTCTGTTCTTAATCTGCTTCTTTTCCCCTGTGTGTACAAATGTAGCTGCTTCTTTGTAACCTTCGCCGGTACGACTATTTGTTTACGCACCTTGGGCTGTAACTTTTGGTTCACTGCGACTAACCGGGATAATTGGAAAATAATATAATTCTGAAGATAAAAGAACAGTCTTCTTTTCCCTGTCTTATCTCGCGATCGCGGAGGTGTAGTCATATTTAAATATTTAGGAGGGTTTCTCCTTGAGGACAGCTGTATAGAACGGAAAAGTCATGTCCATTCAATAGGATCCAAAACTAACCAGACAATAGGTTTTTAAGAATAGACTTTTATCTCGCATACCGTATGTTTATGTTGTATTCATCCCCTGTACTACAAGTCAAAGAAAAGCTGGAACGCGCCTTCGTCGTATGGAGCCCCCATCAGATCGGTATCAGACTAATCAACTTGAGTCTGTTCAAAATTGACCCACTCGTTTTATCGCCCGCAATTATTCCCCGGTTTCATTTTTAAAACAGTTTATATCTTTAGAAACGCTTGATACTGGGAGAAAAATTTCGTTTAGAAACTTTATCAGGCAAAATTGGCAGTCGCCATTTCTTGGCGACCGCCAATTAACAAAAAAAAAATATATATATATATAATGAAATTTTAAGCTAGGTGGCGCAAGCTGCCACCCGTTACAAAGGGTATAGTCATTACCATCCATCCAACCATTCATCCATGCATCGATCCACTGGGCACGAAGCGTGTGACTGGATCCGAGTCTTCGCTGAACGCTCACGCAACGCTCGTTTCTTCTACAGGTTCCTTGTTTTGAATGATATATACGCGTTTATATTTATGCTTGGTTCGAGCTATTCCGCAGTTTGTTATGTCAATGTTCATATGAAATTCTCCCCTCATGTGATGCCTTAACCAAAGGGCCAGGTAATGATATGAAATAAAATGCAATGAGATTTTAATGGCCCAAAAAACGACCAGTGGTTTATGATAATATGTCGTTTTGCCACTCTCCCCTATACACCGACACGCGGGTTTGACGTCACGGAGCTGCGGCGGCGCTGCGATCGCGCCGGAGCCGGGGGGTGTGGGCGAAAGCGCGCACGTTTCGCATGGGCGTCATAGCATTTCACCATGTAGCGAAGCTGTGTTGTCGTTAATTGCACCGAAATGTACAAGAAAAGCAGCGGAGTGAGTTTCCACAAGTTCCCGGCAGACTCTGAAAGGCATAGAAGGTGGATAATATCCGTGGATCGAAAAGAATGGTCGCCTCGCGCGAACGACCGTTTGTGCGGCAAACACTTTCTTGGAGGCAAGTGCGGCTTCCATTTCAATCTCCATCGCGAGGCTTGCTTATGTGCAGGGAAACCGTCGTCTGATCAAGACCACCCGGATTTTGTTCCCACGGTGTTCGCGCACAACGCACCGGCCAAGCGCTTGTCGGGGGCTCGCTACGCACGTGCTACCGAGCAGAAGGGGATCGGCGACAGAACGGCAGAGTTGTAGGCGTTACCGAAAAAAAGTAACGAAATACGTCACTCGTTACTTGCAAATAAAAGGTACGCGTTACTGAGCTACGTTACCTAAATATAAAAGAAACGCGTTACCGCTACCGATGAAAAGTAAGGCACGTTACTTCTGCGTTCCTTTTTTAAATTATGATTTAACACATTTTACGGTTTTGACGATACAGGTCATATATCAAGCAGAAGCTGAACATAAATACTTTATCTCTTTTTACGGTATCACCTAAATACTTACGAGAAAAATCGCAAAGAAAACATGGCTTCACGCCTAAAACACGGAAACAATTGAAGTGCGATTTCTTTAAGACATGGGAAGTAGTAACGACTAACGTAACTACGTTATTTGAAATAGTAGCATAAGTACGTTACCCGTTACTGTGTCAAAAACGTAGCGAGTAGGGAACTACGTTACTGAAAAAAGTAACGCGTTCCTGGTAACGCCGTTACTTGTAACCTGTTACCGCCAAGACTGCAGAACGGACAAACCTTTACTGGTTGTAATGCCTTGTGGTCACGAGGGTATGAAAAATATCATACCTTGACTTGAAGACGCTCTGTGTATTTAATCAATTAATGAATACACACACTTCCGCAGACCCACAGTCTGCTGATCCCGCCGGCAGTGCGGAAACCGACTCGATGTAATCGTAGGCCTTGAGAGACTTGTAGGCCTGCACCCTGTCGGCCGTGAACTGACTTGGCGAAAACTAAATAAACGACGACCTGAGCCGTCGACTTCCGTGGCAGCAACTTTACGTCGGAAGTCCAACACCTAGGCCTTGTTTACGGCGTACGGATCCTCGTAGGCAACGCCGTCCACGCACAGTTTGTTTCGATACCGCTACCGTTCAGGCTCGGGCAACGAGCTCAAATAGTCGGGCATAGCATACGACATACGTTATGAGGAAATACGACGCACAAATAAAGATACAAGCGTCCCTGCAACGTCAACAACGAGCGCACGCCATAGAGCGCAATGGCGAAAACACGGAGAGCCGGGATGCTTTTGCCCACATAGCTACCGCGCATGCGCGGCCTTCCGGCCGTGTTGGTAAACAGAGCCGCTCCGCGTGTCGGTCTATATCACGAGTCACAGTTACAGGTACCGCGGAAACGATCCGTCATTGTATCGTAAACCCTAAATTAGAAGCCAAAGGGCATGTTCTGTAAAACCACACCATTCTCGGCGGTCACCACTTTCGCAAGAAGAGCTTCTCCACCACTGCTACTTCTTTTTTAGAATGCCGTGAAGGAAAATAATGATGAATGTGCTTTGTCCCTGGGACGCTTCATCGATTACTTTCTGCTATTATCAGTGGCGCAGTAAATGTTCAATATAATCACTGCTAATTGTTACCACTGAGATAAAAAATATTCATAGTAATGTTACTTATACCTTGTTTCTTTGGATGGAGAAAGGTGCGAGTGTTACTCACCGAACCTGTGCACAAGTCTCTCGATGAAAAGTGAGTAGGCGGCACAGGACACAGAGTCGATGGCGAGGCCAAAGCATCCGAGTCGCACGCCTTCCTGGTACAGTTCGAAAGATGCAGACTCCTTGGGCGCCACAGGGTCGCCCTCGTACACGACGGCACCGACAAACTCGGTGAGGAACAAAGAGTAGCTCACGAGCGACATCCAACAAAACAGGTTGGTTATGCACAAGATCCGCAACGACTTGGGCATGAACACGATAGACTTGAGGTAGGTTTTCAACGTCGGGTTCGGGCTTTCCGACTCTTCCAGCTTGGCGCTCGGTCCCATCTTCGTCAGCTCTACGCGTTCGCCGTCAGAATCTTCGTTCTTAAACCCCGTATAGTGTTCGCCCTTGCTCTCGAAGAGTCCCGCAGCTTCTGCTTGGTTCGCGATGGCCAATGGCATCTCCCGGAAACTGGTCAATGTGCTGAGGACGCAGATGATAAACAGCACACCGACAATGGCGAACACGGTCTTGATGTGGCCTCCCATGCTCGTTCCTATAGCTGTTTCCTCCCAGTTGACACCGCCCATGACGTAGCCCAAGCCGCCGCCGAGACCGGAGAGCACCGTGAACGTGGTCAGGGCCCTCGCGTGATCTGTCGCAATGGTGACGTCGAGGACGTAGCTCCTGGACGGAGACTGGCAAGCATCACAGCACATGTCCAGAAGCACAAACCCGACCACGGTGAAGGCGATGCCCCAGTTTGCCGGCTGGACACTACCTCCTTCGTCGGTCAGGCTCAAGTTGCGGGGTCTGTACGAGTCGCCGAGGGCGATGCCGATTTCTTTCCCGTTTGGAACGAGCAGCAGTCCGGCGAACATTCCGACGGAGAGCAGGATGATGAAGGGACGTCGGCGTCCGATGCGCCACTGGCAGGTGTCGCTGAGGGAACCCAGGAGTGGGGTGACGAAGAACCCTAGCGAGGGGCTCAGGCACATGGTCAGGGCGACCGCGGAGATGGGCAAACCGAGCTCCAGGAGTATGGGGCCGATGAATGCTGTTTCGGCGGCGTAACAAAACTCGATACCGCACACGGCACCGCTAAGGAGGGCCAGTTCCCAGGGGGTCTTCCTTCGAAAGATATGCGAGTACTTCAGGGGAATGTCGGCCAGCGGAATTGTCCCTTTTGCATCGTTCATCGTTCCTGAATGAGAGATAAGGAGGGAAATAAAACAAATAGTTAAAGAGCTGCTTGAAAGCCTCGGAAGAACTATTCTTTCTGCGCAAGTAAATCACGGTAGCCGGAGCCGGAAGCTTCCATCGACTGTGATGTAACAATCTCGATTAAACTTTCGACACCAGTTGCTTATCGCGTTAATAATTATTTTCACGAACGAGGAAGCATAGAAATGCGCGGTGCGTAAGTGGCTAGCACTGGCGCCACATACGTGACCTTCAATGGCGTTTTCTTTTTCCTCGTAGTGAGCGCGTCGACAGAAACTAGCCGGTCTAAAGCGTTTGATAAGGAAAGTGTGAATCGTACCTATAGACGATACTCGAGGGGCGGGGGGGGGGGGGGGGGGGAGGGGGGGAGGGGGGGGAGGGGGGGGAGGGAGGGAGGGAGGGTAGAGAGAGACTTTGATGGTCGAATAAAACAAACGGTGAGCACTTTCACCGCGGTATTGGACATACTCTCGTCTTACCCGTATGAGTGGCCGACACCGCCTGCAAGCTGGACTCCAGCAACACTCCGAAACGACACTTTAAAGTCCCCGCGACCGTTCAGGGAGCCCTCAGCGCTTAAAGGGGCAGCACTCAAAGAGAAAAGACGACTCAAGAATCGCGGCTTCTCCTGCAAGTGGTCACGCGATAAAAGTCGCCATGCTTGCGGGTGCCTACCGTCTATCTTTCTTTCGCGTGCATCGTGCGATTGGAAAGCACCCTTCCGAAAGCGAGTCTAAAATGAATTCGCTCGCACGCTTGCTTTCGCGTTTATCCGCTTCGCAGTGTTCCCGCTGTTAGGGTCTTTCCGGCCCGCTATCGCGTGTGCCCTTCTCCACTCCGACTTGAGGGAGGTGGCAACGTTCGCGAGCAACAAAACTTAGATTTATCTGCTTGGCATCCTTGGGAGACGGGTCTCGTTAACCAAACCTGCTGCTCATAGTGTAGAAAAAATTAAAGTAAAACAAGCTGACACCAGAGGTCAATGGATGAAAAAACACTGCTTCGTGGTGTATAGGAACGAAAGTTACCCAAGATAAAACATGGCGCAAGAAAAAAAAAATCTCAAATAAAATAAATAATTTGCAGCCTGCGCTGCACTTGCATAAATACCCTTTTACATGCAAAAACACCAGGCGCCACATCAACCCCGGTAGAACTTCCGCTATTTACTATCCGTATTGCAAATTTGGCTTGAAACAATCAGCAAAAAAAAAAGGTAAGGGTAAAAAAAAAAAAAAGAGACGAAATAAAAACCAACACTCCACCACCTGGCGTAACAATAAAAAGTTTCAATTCCGCTCTTTTTTTTTTCTTATTTCTTTTTTACATTTTTACACAATTGTACGTGTGGAAACTGAGGGAGAGGAGGACACGTGCTGGCGTCGCTCACCTTGAGGGACGCTGCGTGGATCCACTGGTGATATATAACATAGAGTTATAATTCCACTAGATATATACTTCTATGTTAAACAAATGGTAAAAAAAAAAAAATACAATGGCTTGGTGGCGCAAGTCGCCGCCCGATTCAAAGGGTCTCATCCATCCATCCATCCAGTGATGACGCTTGGGGGGGGGGGGGGGGGGGGGGGATTTGTCTCGTAGGGGCTATTGGCTAAGCTGACAGTCAGGTGGAGGTCACGTGTTCGTTGAACCAGTCAAGCGGAAGTTCGTGACTTGGCTTTGATGCAGGGAGTGGGCATGCGCACGCAGGGCCCATTTGTGCGCAGCACGTTGAACTAAAACCCAGCAACGTAATGGAACCATGTTCGATCGGAGTGAAGACTGGTTGTGCACGCACCATGTTGACTGTTTCAGCATAACCTGGCAAAAGGGCCAAAGTTCCGTTGAAGTTTGAACCAATGTCAGAGAAAAAGTGGCAGCGCGCCATGCCCTGCCGAAGAGTCACACTCCTCTGACGCTCCGTCACGTTCGTCCTTCCGCTGCTCTCATTGGCTGACTGGGGCCATGGAGCTTTCGCCGTCAATCAAGTTGCGCTAATATCTATTTGAAGTATGCGCCATAACAATAAAAACAAAAAAAAAAATTGCGTGGAAATTTGGTGAGTCGTAATTTTCCTATGAATCCTATTTTAATAATGAATCAAACTCTCTCGATGAGCTTTGGGAAAGTAAATTATTCTGCACTAATTAAACTCCTTGCGTCATTTTTTCTCAACTAAAATAGAAGCGTATAAAATCTTTGTGTGTGTCTGTTTTTGGAGTTAATTGTTTTTGAAATTCGGAGGGTGTTTTTCGGAGTTCAAATTTCGCTGCAAATTCGGGGTGTATCGGAGTTAATTTTTGTTAGGTTCCCGATTCTCCGAAATTCGGAGTTTAATTTTACTCTGCTCTTATTATTTGTTTTTCAGAATAGAAATAAATAATGTCGGGCCAAAAACGTACACTAAACTAAAAAAAAAAAAAAACTCAGCTTTTTAAAGGTATTTCTGTAGCTGCATTTGACATTGGCGCCCATGTGATTCGAGCTACCAACTGTCCCACGACAAATCTTGAAAATAAGTGTTACTACTATCAAATCGGAACAAAAACTTCTGAAGCGCTCTAATGGAATACGATGTAACTGTAATAAAAAAAAAGACAACATTTACACCGCTGTACTACCGAAAAATAGAAAACACATCAGTCTCTCTTTTTTCTTTTGGCATTTTTCCTGGGCATGCCTCATTAAATTGTAAATTGAGATAAATTGAATATAATTCTTGAACGTAATTGAAATGGAGGAGGCCGGGGAAAAAAAAAGCTTCAGTGGTACGACTCGACAGAGTTCCAGCCCACAACAAAGTTAGCAGTAGCGGCAAAAGCGAAACTCAAAATGGAATCTTTACGATAAAGGGCGGGTACAATAGAAACGAAAACATTAACGACAGTTGTAGAATCCGCAGACACAAATGGAGAGCAATACGAACAAAATTGACGTAAAACATAAGGTAAGTGTATCTCAATCATAAAGCCGGGAGACATAAAATTCTGGTTCCGGGTGTTTATTTACGAGCTTTTCCAAGCTCGGAAAACACGCTTAGGGCATCGAACTGAGCATGCGCAAACGGTATGTGCATGCTCTACGCTACGCCCCAAGCTTTGGTGTCTCGTGATCCCCTACGCCATGTGGCGTGATATCCCGCGTCATTGGTGACTATGCGCCAAATGATCACGTGGTTAGTCTCACTGTGAGTTACGGAGTTGTGGCGACAACGGGTCAAATTGCCACCGTAGAACATGACAGCACGTGACCGCGTATAATGACGCCATGGGACGCCACCGTCTCGTGTAACTATAGGTTACGGGATCACGTGGTACATAGTGATTACACGGTCACGTGAACTACGGTGATTACATGATCATGTAGCCAATGGGGATTAAACGATCACGCGGTGTAACCTCTAGTACGAAGTGTATTTTAATGAACAGATGCCTTAGGATTATCATAATAATAATGTTGTTAAAAAACTATCAAGAGTGCTTGGGAAGTTATGTCAATTCAGGAATTTATTGCCTCGTCACATAAAAATGCTTATATACAGGGCCCTTTTTTTTTTTACCCCATCTGAACTACTGTAATTTAGAGTGGTGTACCACATCTCTGTCAAATGCTAACAAATTACACCTTCTTGAAAAAAAGGCTGTTCGCACCATACTCAATGTTCCTTTCGATACACATACACCTCCATTATTTAAAGAACTACCTCTAATAACTGCCCCTAACCTATATGAGTATACTCTACTAACACGATATTGATCAGCTTTCCGTTCTAACCAGCCTTTCCTTGGACATATTGTCACGAATGAAGGTGACGAAAAGGCGAACAGTGAACTGAAAAGAAAGGTTTAATGGGCGAACTTGTGCCAACCAAAAATGAGGTAACGAAAGAGCGTCGAAGCAGCAGAAAAGCAGGCGGCGATTCAGCGGCGAATCAGAGAGCGCGAGCGAGACTGAGACTGACTCGACGAGGTCGCGGGAGCCGCTTATCTACCCTGCATCACTATCTCGAAAGTTCGGCAAAGAAGGTTCGAGCGTCGCGCGCTCGGGGCGAGGATGAACTGGCACTTTCGAGAATAACAAAGCAGAAGGAAAGTTACGTCTGCTGCGAGAATGAGCGGGAATCTTCTCGAAGACCGTGACCAAGCGTTGCCTTCTCGGCTCTGTGGGCGGCAATACTTCAAACCTAACTCAAAATATCCAGGTATATGACGTTCGTGAGGGGGAGCTTTGGAAAATACCAACAAATCCTACAAATTACGATTTCCAAATGCTAAGGTATAATCTTCCATTTATTCTAAATAAACTTCAGAAGCATAATTTGACAAATATCGAGAGACTGAATCTTAGTACAATTAGAAATTTTTTCCTGCATTAAAATTTCCCTTGTATTGAGGGGTCGTGTGTTCTGTATGTTTCAGTTATTTTTGAGGTAGTACGGTTAGTATTTTTAGTCCTGTCATGTGCCTAAATATGCTATGTGCCTTATATATATATGTGTATATGTGCGTGTGTATGTATGTGTATATATATATATAATTTTTTTGTTATCTTTGATAGCGTGTTTAACTTACGCCGTTCTTCTGGCTCTTTTTTATTTTTTATTTATTTTTTTTTTTTGCTTAATGTTAAAAGCTGAAAACTGAATATTATTAGTTGATGTAGTATGTCGCCGTGTGCCAATTGTAAGGCTGCAGAGGCCTTGTCAAGTCAAACTTTTGACTTTTTGCCCCTGCAGCCTACATCAGTTTCTGATGTGAAATAAAGGATTGATTGATTGATTAATACCTGATCACGTAGCCTAAAGTGATTACGTGATTCAGTCACGTGATTGCTGCGCCAAGTGATTACCCTGCTACATCCGGCTACGTTTCGACAAAATGTGATGAATTTGTGCCAACGTTTTGCCAAAACTAAATTTCACTTTACTAATACTGAAGAAATAATAGCTGAGGACCAGCTACTCTGCCGGATCGTTACTGTAGGCTTGTCCGAATTTTCAAAACTTTCGATTATCGCGTGAAGTAACGTACTACTCGATTTGATCTCTGCACCAAACTCAACAGTACTCGGAAGTCGCGCAATATTCTCATATACTTGGTATGTTCTGGTGGGTTAGGTGACC